AAACGAGTACCTAGCAGATGCAGAAGATAAGCGATGATCAAATGAAACAAGCCCCAATCTTCTAGAGAAAATGCCTTAGACTCAGAATTACAGCAGGGAGTGGCTATTTCTGTGCAGAAGATGTCCAGGCCCAGAGGGCCAGTGCCAAGTTGGAGTTTGCTGTGTGAAGGTGAACTGCTCTTCTCATTCCCAGTTACTTCCTGGGGCTGAGAACAGGTAGAAAGGAAAACTCTCTTGGTAACATGAAGGGATGGGTGGGGTTGGGAGAGGGAGAGGAGAACAATAGAACTTTGGTTAAGATGCATTGTACATACACTGACCTGTTGAATTGAAACCCCTTTGTGCAACTACTTAAGGGTTAAGAAACTCTAGTTACCTCTGCAAAAGATGACTCACAGTTTCCCAACCACACCTGTCAACCTACTTTGACCTTGATGAACTCCTGGCCTGACCCTTAGCGGGGACTTCCAGAGCAAGGCGTGGGCATGTGCACCCCAATGCCTGGCGAAGGCCCTGCTTCTCAGAGAAGCTCAGCTTCTCCACTTGCTCAGAACCGCCTCCTTTTCCTTGGAGGCTTATGGCATCCGCAATCATCACTGCACACTGTTGTCCAGCCTGTCATGTGTCTCTCCAGGTCACAGAGGCCACACTGCGCCAATTCTCTGCAGCAAGCAGTGCAGGCTGACCCTCTTACAGGGACCACACCTAGCAATGCTCAGAACTGATGGAGCCGGACAAATGAATTAATGCACTAAGAGCCTCTAAGGGAAGTGTCCATTTGCCTTTCAAGTCTCACAGTAGCTATTATTACATCAGCAGGGCACCATTTTATTATGAGCCATGGGGGGTGACCCTAAGGATCATTCTGAGCCCCAGGACTGTCTCCTATTGGTCTCTGCCTCAGAGCATTCTGTGTCCTAGGGATTGAAAACTTTTTTTCTGCCTATTACAGATAAGGGGATTTGGGGTGTCCAGAAATAAGGTCCAAGGCAAATGGGAACTGGTACAGGGCAAAGTCTTTGGCCTTCTGATTGGTCAGCAGAGAACCAAAAGCTGCCAACCAACCCATTTCTTTGCCCTCTAGATAGTCTGTCTGCAGCCTGTCCAGCCTGGATGCTGCATCCTGTCTCCTGCAGATCTCCAGCCCAGCTCCTCTGCAGCTCCAACCAACGTAGGGCAAGCTGGGTGTCTCATCTAGATCATGAGCCTGAAAAGGTAAAACCCATTACAGATAGACATGGAGCTGTATCTGTCTTCTCGCTCCCCTCCCACCGCTCCAGTATCCTTCCCTCCCCCTCTCCCCAGCCTGGCCTACCCCATGGTTCTCAAAACTGCTTATTTTTTCTCTGCCGGGGTGGCAATATCCACAACATCTTAAATGCTACCTTTCTGTCTTTTTCCTTTCTTTCAGTGCTGGGGATCAAACCCAGGGCTTTAGCACGGTAGGCCAGTGTTTTGCCACTGAGCTATGTACTCTCATCTCCAATGCTAATGGTTCTTAATACACATCAAATAAGCCTCAGATGCTATTTGCTTGATGTCACAAATGGCATAAAACCAAGTCCTGGAATTCAAAAAAGTTCAAGAGCTTGTTCATGCAGAATGGCTTCCCACAGCCGCTGGGGCCTTGGTGTGTAGCTCTGGCTCCAAGCATGTGACATTACCAGTCAATGGGGACAGTGACTGTAGTTGCAGAAAAAGGCCACAGAAGTATGGTAAAATCCCCAAATAAACTCAATACTATTGACTGGAGGGACACAACTTCCTTCCTTACCTTTCTACATTCTCCTACTCTACAGTTTGGCCAGGGCAAATTAGCCGATAAGTAACCTTGGTGTTTTGAAATTCCAAAGTATGACAGGCTGGTCAGCACCTCAACTTGTTCTTGGAGTCCTTCTATCACCTGGACCACAATAATGCAAACAGGAATGCAGGGTGGGTGTGATTACATTTAAAGTCTCTTTCCTTGTGGTCACTGAAGATATCAGGAGCCTGAGAAGAAATGGAGATGAGAGCTAGCCGAAGCAAGCAGAAAGAGCACAACTTTGCGTCCTGGTTTTGCACCTCCTGGCATTATGGAGTCATGTGTCAAAGGCTGGGTTCCCATCAACAATGTTCAGAGGTGGGGTCCTTGGGGAGTGATTGGATCATGGATTCTCTTTATCTGAAGGACGGTATCATTGACAGAGTCATAACTTGGTTTATTAAGAGTGATTAAGTGTAAGAAGTCACTGGGAAGGTGCCTTAAAATTGCATAACTTGCTCCTGGCCTCTGGTCTCTGTACTCTCTCTGTCTCTCTCTGTCTCTCTCTCTCTCTCTCTCCCTCTCTCTCTCTCTCTGTGTCTCTCTCTCTCCCCCCCTCTCTCTCTCTTCCTCTCTCTCTGCTTCTTGGATGCCATAAGGTGAGCAGCTTTCCTCTACTCTGCTTAACTGTCATATTTCTGACTGGTCACCAACCTAAAAGCAAATGAGTCAGCCAGTCATGGACTCTTGAGACTCTAAAACCATCAGCCCAAATAAACCTTTCCTCCTTTAAGATATCCCCTCCCAAGTGTCTGTCACCCAGCATCTGTACAGGACCGGCCAGTCCCTCCTCCTGCGACCCGGGCCGCCCCCAGACCTCCTAACACTATTAATTTATGAAACTGTTTTCCTCAGCGCAGTTTTGTTTTGTGTGACCATTGGATTACAAACTTTATTTAAAAATACAAAAAAAAAAAAGATATCCCCTCCCTTTGCCCTGACCCAAATATTTTGTCACAGCTACAAAAATCTAGCATGCCTGATCATGGAGTTGAAGGTGACTTCTTTAACTTCTTAAAAACTTTGGTTTGCTCATCTATAAAACCAAGAGAATCACTGATGTTACATTGAAACTGGAATAGAATGGAAAATTAAATAAAATGATGTCATTAATCACCCAGCACAGTGTCTTGTGTATCCAATAGATGTTAAATGTAACTTAGTGCTCTTCTCTGATCCCCTGTGCCTCAACCTTGTAACTAGGGAAGCAGGTATGGGACTCTATAAATATCTTACTAATTAAAATAAAAATACTGGAAAGAGAAATTCAGGTCTGATTTCGTATGGAAGAATGAGAGGCATGAAGAAAGTTCATAATTAACTTGCATGTGCTTTTCTGCTCCTTTCAATAAAGAAGATATGTTTGTAAACATAATGGATAGGTTCCATCCAATAATTTTTATATAAACTATGTTTTGTATTTGTTTTACTTTATTAAAAAATTTAAAAGACATCTCACCACTATTTTTTTTTTTGCTTTGGTAACAATTCTAAATATCTTTTTTTTTTTAAAGGCAATGCTGAATTTATTTTTTCGGCTTTTTTTTCCTTTTTGCTTATGTAGTGCTGAGGAATCGAACCCAGGGCCTCATGCATGCAAGGTAAGCGCTCTACCACTGAGCCACCTTCCCAGCCTCTCTAAATATCTCTTATGGCAAGCCAAAACCAAAACCAAGTTACTTGTCTTGGTTATGAGTGAGAAAAGCAGAGCCTAAGTAGAAGTGATTTACCCTGGCTTTGAAGAGCCAGTGAAGGAAATATGAGCCCTTCAGTGCTATTTCTCTTCAGTACTTTGGCTCAGACTCCTCCCTTTACACACACACACACACACACACACACACACACAAACGCACAGTCTGGGGATCCAACACTGGCATGCTAGGGAAGATCTCTGCCACTGAATTACAGCCCCTGCTCTCATTTTTAATGTCTGGTGTGAAACCAGATGCTTTTGTTTAGAATCTTGTTACCAGATTATGTAAGAAGAAGCACCTGAGAAATACCTCCAAAAAAAGCAAAGCCAGTCCTCAAGATGCTGAATTCTTAGCCTAATTTTTGTCTCTAGATGGAGCAGAAGGTTGGAAGGCATGATGTAGCCCAGGGGGCACAGATTGGGCTCAGGCCTCCAGCCATCTGCCCTTTGTTCTCCTACTGCTGCTCCCCCAGACCTGCCCCTCCACCCCTGCCCGGCTGGGGCTCTCACCAGGCTCTGGCACTGAGCCCCGGGGAAGATCTGAAGAGATCTCCTTTTCCTCTTGGCTCTCATGTTCATTCAGCAAGTAGTCTCACTCATAACCTTACCTCTATTTTTTTTTTAAAGAAAAACAGTATTATTTCCAGCTCCACATTTCCATATGAATGGTCAATGGAGTTGGTGACTTTTTTTTTTTAAGACGTAGAATCCATCTGGCTTTTTGGCAAAGACTTGAGCCCTTCAAATACAGCCCCCCCCCCGACTTGGATCTACCTTTAATTGTAAAAATACAGGGAGCTCTATAAAGTATGAAGACTAATTTCATTTCTCTGTACTCCTGCAGAGTAAGGGGCCAGAGGTAAAGGTCATATGTAGAAACCCTCTAGCGGCAGCTGCCTAAAACAGTTTCCCAATGCTTCGGCCATGCCTGGTGAGGTTGCTTTATAAATAAGCCTAACCAGGGGACCTGTGACCCCTGAACCTGATCCTGTGATGGTTACCTAAGACCACCAGCCACCTCCTCTCTACCTTACCACCACTAAGACCTTTCTTATTGCATCTTGGAGGAGGCAGTGAGCAAGCATGCCCAGCTGGCACCCTGCAGTCCCCCTCCACAGCCTCCTCCTGCCTTGCGTCTCTCTGGCAAGTGAGTCTCAAGGCCTGGAATTCCTCAGGCAGGGCAGAGGGCAGCTGGGTCAGACTTCTCAGTTATGTGGGGGGAAGTGGAGCCTCCTGGTCCCACGCTGGACTCTCTTCAATCCAAATTGGAGGTTCTAGAAATGTTTTATTTCAACACATGTGTGAGCAGAGGCCCCTGCATCCCCAGAGCATCTTGTGAGGGCTTCTGGTAAAAGTCCTTTAGCACCCTGGTGAGCGGCGGTCATCTTTCTCTCCTCTCAGTAGCTCTGAATTCCTACTGTCTCCCAGCCCATCAACCCCTGGGCTAGCCTGGAGTTTCAGGCAAGGAAGAGAGGGAAAAATAGCCCTCCACACACGGAAACATCAGGTAAGTGGGGCTTTTATTTCTACCACAGGGCAAGAGAAAAGATTAAAAAAAAAAAAAAAAAAGAAGCCTCTTGGACAAGTCAGTAATGGGGAAGGTTCAAAACTCATTCTCAGCAGGGTACGGGCCCAGTATTAAAAGCTCAAGAGAGAAACAGAAGGCAAGCAGGTAATCAGCAAAGTTTGATACAAGTCCTTCAGCTCAACGATCCCAAAGAGCCAGGGCTTGAAGTCTACCTGCCAGGAGTGGGAAACTGGCATCTAGGACAATCCCTGCCAGGTTTCAACTCCGGAGATTTCTGAGTTAATTCTTAACCAGACTTTCTGAGAAATTTAGGACTGGATGTGCTTGACTGTCGTTTTTTTTTTTTTTTTCCAATTTGGGGGTGGGTGGGGGGAGCTCTTCTTTGGATAGGCTCCCAGACAAAGACACAATCTTGGAACTTGGGGTGTCCTCCCCAGAGGACATAGCCAGCAGCCTGGGGCCCCACAGCATTTAGGACACCTCCCTCACTTCCAGTGAGGTGAGCCACAGCCCTCCGGGGTTCTGACTCTCTTCCCTCTAACTACACTTGACTTTTTCTTCCCGTTCACGTCTGCCTCTCCTTTTCCTCACTTCCAGCCTTGCCAAACAAGCTATAAGTATGTGTAAAAATGTGCCATTAGCAACTTTCACCACAGGATCGTTAGTTTGTTCCTTTCCTCATTAATATGAATGGTGTACGGATTGGGCCACCAAACATCTTCACCAAGCTAGCTAGAGCTACCACGCTGTCCTCTCCCCATTTCTCTCTGACCCATCTATCTATCTTCCCATCTTCACTGCCCCTTCTCTCCCACCCAGTGCCTCTTGGCTGGACCGCTGGGTGACACAGGAGTGTAGAGGCCTTCCACGCAGGCCCGAGGGCAAGAGGCTCCATTGATCCTGCAGGGAGATCAGAACAACTGGTCAGGATCTTAGACATTCTGGAAGCAGTCTGAACAGTAGCCACGGGGGTTGGCAAAGGCACATTGCAAGAGACCCTCCTTCTTCTTTGATCTTCCTAACTACTTTCAACAGTCATGACCCAAGGTCATCACATTCTTCAAAGGGCTTCTTCCATCCTTCTTGGCCCAGTGTGCCACAGCAGTCCATGAGTCAGCGTTGACATGTGTCATCCTCGTAACGATCCAAGTGAGATGTGGTGAAATGGGGCAGCGCAGCCAAGGAAAGGAGGCTACAAATGTAGCCAGCGGAAGCTACATGAGTCTCACAGAAGATTAAGCATCTGCACATTCTGCATCCTTCAGCCCCTATCTAGCATTAAAGGCTGGACCCTCTCGAGATTCACTTCCATTATTCTCCTCTATTGACCTTCTGGCCTTATTTCTACTTCCTCAGCACCTGCCTCCTACTTACTGGTACCTTCTCTAAATCCATACTTTTATTTCCTGGCTTTGTGCCCACTCCCTCATTCCCTGTGTTCCACGACAGACCACATTGAGTTGGCCTGGCAGAAAGGAGGAGCTGGGCTTTCGTCAGCATTGAATAGACGCTGCTAGGGCCTGCTAGGCATACACAACTAGCCACCCCTTTGCAGGGAAGTCTGGCCAGGTCAGATGGGGTTTAGACCAGTTACAGCGTCTCAGATCACCTGTCCTAGCTGTCCAGCCCGCCTCTGAACTTGCCCTTCCTCCTCCTCTCACAGTCAGCTACATTTTTCTACAGAGCTGGGGAAAATGACATGCTTTTTATCTACTTTAAACAGTCTAACACAACTGTGAATACCACTTTCAAAGCATTATAGCCTTCAAAGAGGGGCTTTTCCTCCTCCCTTCTTCTCAGGCCTGTAATTAAACTCCTGGTGACAGAGTGGCGGAGGAAGGAGAAATGAACGACTCCTTTGCTGCTCTCGGCAGTGAGGTAGCCCAGGGCTGTGCACACCCATCTTTTCATAACAATCTAGCAAGCCACCAGACTCCAGGTCTCCTCCATCTTCCTCCTCCAGTCACCACACTGCTTCCCTTACTTTTTCGATTTGTCATGTGCCAGCCTCCACCTTTCACAGGAAGGGTCTTCATGTGAAGCCAAGTAGCCCTAGTCCCAAACTGAATCTCAGCCTAATTCACTGCAGGATTGACCCTCGAGTCTGCCTGAAAGGCTCAGCAGACGGATGGGATGGCTCATCCCTAACACTCATTCTCAATGCAACCAAGAAGCATATATTTTCCCCATCTTCTGTGAGTCCAAGTCTGAAATGTTCCTGGATTCTCACCATCCCCAGAGCAGAGGCTTCCAGTCATTCGTCATGGCACCTGCCACAAGAACTCCAGTTAGCGCACGAAGGACACCACGCTGGTGGCCACTCCAAAGGGGGCAGAGTAGGCTGCAGCAAATCCTTGTAGGCCGATGACAATGTAGCGGCAGCCTTTGGTAATGACCTTCCCGACGTTCTGTTTTCAGAAAGAGAAAGGCAAAAGATTAAGTTGAGCAGCTTGGTAATAACTCCTGCTTAAAGTGATGGTGACATGCTTGGAGAATCCTTTTTCCTCTCTCAGGGAAAGTTCACTAGTCACTGTGTTTGACATCCCTTAGTGTCCAAGCCCACATCAGCATTACAACACACTAGGCGTGGAGAAGATGTCACCTCCGTGTACAATGCTGTAAGCTCAGTATATTTTCAAGTATCCAGAGACATTCTTAGAAACAAGTTAGGCTGCCAGTTTAAAACCAAGCCAGTTACTTATTATTATTATTAGTGGTGGTGGTTGTGGGGCTTGTACTCAGGGCCTGGGCACTGTCCCTGAACTCTTTTTGCTCCAGGCTAGGACTCTACCACTTTGAGCCACAGCTTCTAGGTCTTGAGTGATTAATTGGCGATAGGAGTCTCACAGAGACTTTTCTGCCTGGGCTGGCTTCGAACCGTGAGCCTCAAATCTCAGCCTCCTGAGTAGTTAGGATTATAGGCATGCCACCAGTGCCAAGCAATTTATGACCATTCTTTAGCCTAAAAGTTTCTGGGCCATCGGTAGGCCCGATCAAGTTGTCCTTCATGCTCCTTGTCTGGAAGCCTACCTTGCCTTCCCTCTATATCTAGGGCTCACTCCTGTCTGACCCACACATTATTCCCCATGGAATATTCTGTCATCCTCCAAATGCTGCATGCACTAAGTCCTAGGATTCCAAAACAATCGATCAGAAACTTGTTGAAGGCAATGCTTTCTCAGTGGCTGCTACTTCCTTATCTTTAAGGGCTGATGTTGGACAGGAGAAATCCAAGAAATTCAAGTGAACTACAACAGAAAAATAAAGGGCATAGTAATGGACTCACATTGGCTGCACTGTTGTCTCCCATTTCACTATTCTCAGGGACATCAGTGCCCACGTAGCCGACCAGATTCTTAGCTCACACACTTCATATCTCAACCTCACGATTTTTCCCAACCATCTGAAATTCCTGATCCCAATCATAAAGCTTACACTGACATCAAATACTGCCTGGCAAACCCAACCTACCTGATTAGTAGGCTGGCTTCTCCTTTCTTGATACAGCCTCATACTTTCCCCCTCCCCACCTGCCTACCCCTAGCCAAATGATCCCACTTCTTCTATCACTACAAAAATTCCATGTTGTCAAGGAACCTGTTCATCTTCCCAACACTGTGTACATATGACCTCTGTCCCTGCTCCTTCCTGAGGAGCCCAGGCCCTTCAAACACACCTTGCTTCCCTTCTTCAATCAAAGCAGTACTTATGTCATTTTGTAGCAAACTGTCATAGTCTGAGAGTGCCTATAAGCTGATGTTTTTGGTATTCGTTCATCCATTTTCCTCAAACTGATAGCTAAAACAAAACAAAGCTACTTTCATTTCATCTTCTGAGGTATTTTTTTTTGGGGGGGGAAGGGAATCTACTAAAGGAACTCATTAACTGAACATCGTCAAATATAGAGCTGAGAGATCCAGTATCTGTGTATTCAGTGGATCCAATCTGAGATTCTTTGATCTGAGTAAAACGAATCTCACAGAGAGATGCTAGGGTCAGAAGCATGAAAGGGTGTTCAAGCCTGAATCATGGCCCTTCCCTAAGATGCTCACCCGTTAATCCTATAACTATGTTACTGCAAAAGAGATTTTGTAGACATGATTAGTTAAGCTTCTATCTTGGATTACTTAATCCAGGGTTAATCTTCTTTGCAGTTCCAGGATAGAACCCAGGACCTCATGCAGGTCAGATAGTGTTCTACCATGGAGCCATATCTCTATCTCAAATGAAGTACTTTTATAAAGAGGGATGAAGGAGAAGTCAGACAGAGAGCAATGTAAGGGCAGGAAGCAGAGAGAGACAGGGAGAAGGAAGAGAAGAATGGGGGATTCAGAAGCTGGAAAGAGCAAAGAACTGAATCTCTCCCAGAGCCTCCAGAAGCAACAGCCCCAAGGTTTGATTTTAAGTCCTGATGTGTTGTGTGATTTGTGGCAGCTCATGCAGTGAGGGAGGCTTTCTGGGGGTTGCCGCATATTAAACTAGGCCAAGGCAAAGCATTCCTATGGCACTGCCTCTCCAGGTTCAGAAAGGAAACCATCCCTCCACCACCACGATGACCTTCTCTGAATACAAAAAATTTTCAGTGGTGAATGGGGTCAGGACCTGGGGTAAGTAAGTGGTCTATTTTTGTTTTGTCCGTCATGGGGCTTGAACTCTGGGCCTGGGTGCACTAGCTCAGGGCTAGTGCTCCACCACTTGAGCTACAGCAATCTCAACCCCAAACATGGGGATCTAACAGTTATTTCATACCTTCCATGTCCCCTCCCCAGCTGTCGTAGCTGCCTGATTAGAAAAAGTTAATTCCTTTCTGCTCTGTGGCTCTCAGGGTGCCTGGAGAAATGACTGTTATTTTAAGTTCTGAGAGTGCAGGGCCTCCTTCTTCTATGCCCAGCTCTTCAGCTCTGCCTGGGAAGAGCCCAGGCCAGGCCACCTCCCTCCATCCAGACTCACTGATCTCTAGCTGTGCGGCCTTGAACAGCTTCCTTCGCTGCACCACAGGGTAATCACAGCTTCCCAAGGTTGCTGAGAGGATTCAGAAGCATGGCACATAAAGTACGAAAGCAGGATGCCCGCGCCCTGGGGGACACACAGCAAATGCATGTTCCTTCCTCTCCCTGGTGCCCAGCAATTAGCATTTGAACAATATCACGTGTGCCATAGGAATGCTATTCTCATTACATAAAACCCACTGGGCACATGGATCTCCACAAGAGTCCTGGGCACACAGGCTTCCAGAAGGCTGAACTACCTCAGTTTAAGGTTGTGCTCTGGGGTGAGACCGGCAGTGTGGACGCACGCTCTTCTCTCTCGTGGCACAAAGGCAAAGTCTTTTACTTATGTAGAAGCAGGAAGAGGCTTGGGGGATGGGAGGGAGGAGAGGCAGGATCTAAGAAGTTAACAGGAAGGGGAATGACAAGAAAACACGTTCCTTAAAACTTGGAGCTGTTTGCAGGTTCTCGACTTAGTCCACGGAGCTCAAGGAAGATAACATTTCTGAAGGCAGGTGAGGATGGGTGGCTCACATTTGTAATCATAGCTACTGAGGAGGCTGATATCTGAGGATCACAGTTCAAAACCAGCCCAGGAAGGAAAGTCCATGAAACTGGATGTGGAGCTGTGGCTCAAAGTGGTGGAGTGCTAGCCTTGAGCAGAAAAGCTCAGGGACAGTGCCCAGGTCCTAAGTTCAAGCCCCACCACTGACAATACATAAATTAATAAATAAAAAATATTACATACATGTGTGAAAATGGAATGATGGTTCTAGTTGAGATTGGTTGGGGGGACGGTGGGGTGAGCTGAGGAGATCCATTGTGTGCAAATACAGACTTGTCAGCAATGCAACCCCCTTGTACAATAAATGGATGGCAATAAAACATATGAAAAAAATAACTAGGATTTTAAATGTGGAAAAGAGAAGTTCACCTGGTGACTAAAGTGGGTAAAAATCACCTCTCATTCTTGGTGCCAGGAGCCTGAGATCTAAGGAGCCATAACTCTTATATCCAATTAACCACCAGAAAATCATAAGTTGTGCTGTGGCTTGAGTGGTGGAGGACTCACCTTGAGCTGAAGAGCTCAAGGACAGTGCCCAGGCCCAGAGTTCAAGCCCCACGACTGACCACCCCCCCAAAAAAAATTGCCTCTCACATTTTGAGCTTTGACTGTCCGCACAGCCTTTCCCCAAAAAGAGGCTGCTGGTCTCTCTCCTTGCTGGAGCTTGGTACCCAGTTGGCTCTGAGGAAGTGGAAGCTGAACTCACTTTTTTTGACCCTTAACATGGGAATGTGGTCTCACTTGGGGTCCTGGGTCTATTGAGCTAGTATGCAACTCTAGAACTTTCCAAGTCAACTTCTCTATTCCTTTCATCGCAGATGTCATACCTTTATCTTTTAAAATCTCTTGCTGCTTTAGTTCAGGCAAATTTCATGTAAGATGAACCTAATTATTTTAGAGAGTGGACAATTCAGTGGCCTTTAAGGTATTTATAATGTTGTGTTGCTACCTGACTTATGTCAGGTCATCTTCCCCAAGGGAAACCACACACCTCATTAAGCAATTGGTCTCTATTCCCCCTTCACCCCTGACCCCATCCCAATCTGTGTTCTCTCTCGCTAGATTTACCTAGTCTGGATATTTTGTCACTAGAATCATGCAAGTCAAATTTACTATGTGTAACCTGTGGCTCTGGCTCACTCAACCCAGCATCATGTTTTTAGAGCCTGGACAATTTAGTAGCACATATTAGTACTTCATTCCTTTTTATGGCCACATAAAATCCCATTGTATGTACATGCCATATTTTTGCTTATTCATTCACCCACTGGTGGACCTTTGGTTGTTTTCACTTTTTGACTATTTGTAAGTAATGACTGTATGAACATGTGTGCATTCATCTCTCTTGGTTGTATGCCTAGTTGTGGAATGAAGTGCTGGATCATAGGTTAATCCCATGCCTAATTTTTTTGAGAAACATACAAATTATTTCTCATAAAATGCCATCATTTTACATTTCTGTCTGCTGGGTACAAGGGCTCAAATTTTTTCCACAGTTTCACCATTTGTTATTTTATGCTTGCTTGCTTTATTTATCTTTGAGTGTGTGTGTGTGTGTGTGTGTGTGTATGTGTGTGTGTGTATCTTGGTATCAGGACCTCATGTTCTTAGCTTGCTTGCTCATGGCTAGTGCTCTGCCACTTGAGCCATGCCTCCAACCCTGCTTTTTGCTATTAACTGGAGAGTGTTAGTCCCCCATTCTTCTGTCCAGGATGGCTCAAACCTCAATCCTTCAAATATTAGCTTCTTAAGTAGCTGAAATTAGATGTGAGCCATCCAGCATTGACTTTTTTTTTTCAGAGTAGTTTTCAGAGTAGTCATTCTAGCAAATAGGGTGTGGTGCTTCATTGTACATTGTTACATGGGGATTCGCTTCCCCCTACTGTCTCTCTCTCCTCTCTCTCACTCACTTTCTCAGATAGAGTCTCAGGCTGGCCTCAAACACATTTTGATTTGATTTTCTACAGCAGCTAGAAATATAGGTGTGGCCACACTGCCTGGCTTTATCTGGTGAAGTCGCAGCCCATTCTTGTGCACCTCGTGTCTATGTCACTATGATCAGAAATGTTCCCTGACTTTACATTGCATCTTGGAGGATTCATCTGCTGACCTTTGCCCCATGGAGCTCCTCAGTGGATTCCCTACTATGTCTTATCTCCATGTAGCTGTAGATTTTCTAGATCAAGGCTGCAAAGTATTTGGTTTTCACATCTCTAGTGCCTACACAAAGCCCTGTACAGAATGCGTACTCCAGAAAGTTCTCCAAACACTAGCTTCTTGACTGCGGTTTGTACATCATCAGGCTCTTGACTAGTGGCTCCTTTGTGCTCCACTGGGACAAGGAAGAAAGATGATCAGTTCAGACACGACCTTCATCCTTAAAGTCCCAAGTGAAAGTTGCTTTTCTTTTTCCAGTACTTGGGCTTAAACTCAGGGCCTGGTCACTGTTCCTTGACTTTTTCACTCAAGGCTAGTGCTCTACCACTTGAATCATAGCTCTACTTGCAGCTTTTTGGCTGTTAATTGGAGATAAGAGTCTTCTGGACTTTCCTGCCCGGGCAGACCTTGAATTTTGATCTTCTGATCTCAGCCTCCTGAGTAGCTAGGATTACATGAGTGCACCACTGGCTCCAATTGAGAGTTTTTATTAATGAATTTCACCACTGCCAGCTTCTGATCTATTCCCAAAGCTGCTCTGAGATTGGGAAGGGAAGGGCAATAACAAATTGCTGAAGTAAGGATACAGGTTGACCCATTGTAACAATGAGATGTACAAGACACTAAGTGGAAAACGAACTTTACAACTTTGGGGGGTGGGGAGGGAGAAGTTGGGGAGGTGGGGAGGGAAGGGATGGAAGGGGACAAACAAAGGAGGGGGTAACAATGCTCCATAGGAAATGTACTCATTACCTTACTCAAGTAACTGTAACCCCTCTGTACAGTATCTTTACAGTAAAAAATATGTATTAAAAAAAGAGAAGGATAAACCTCAGCAGCCAGCATGATGGAGTGGCTGCAGGTGTAATAAGAAGCCAGTGAAGTTCACAGATGACTGGACAGTAAGTCAGGCAGACCTGGTCTTTGGCGGGATACAATGAGGTGGTGGTTTGTTTGTTTGTTTTTCCTAGTGGCCTTGTCCCTGTTAAAGGAACGGGCAGCAGTGTCTACGTCTTCCAGGTAGGAACTCCTGAGAACTGCCTTTGGACTCCCAATCTCTGAGAAGGAAATGGGTCATTCTGGTCTACCATTCTTCCTTCCTTTCTCCTTCCCCATGGGTTCCCCCCACCCCCCAAGGCAAATGGCAGGATATTCCAAAGCTCCAGGGTAGAGAACAAAGAACAGGAGACCCAACAGGTGCCAATGCCTGTATTTGTGGTGCCTCGGAGCCCTGGAACCATTTGGGAAGAGTAACCCTGGCAGCTCTCAGCTAGTGGGACACACAGGCCAGGAGCGGCTCACAGTTCCTTAACTCTCCAACTGGATCGCCTTCCCCCAAGCCACCTAACTTGTGCCAACTCGTCGGTGCTCTGATGGGCAATACCCAGACGTGGATGTTCTCTCCTGGCCCAGGATTTCAACTAAATAAGACCCTTGAGGTCATTTACACCCAGCGATCCCCTCTACCTGAGGTCATTTACACCCAGCGATTCCCTCTCCCTCCCCGCCCGAGCGTGGTACTCTGGCTCTCCAACGCCTCGCGGGGTGCGCGGAGCCCCGGGGTGGGCAGGCAGGGGAAGCATCAAAGCCCCCGCCGCCCACCCCAGCGTGCGGTAGAAGCGCCCGCATACCTTGCCGTACTTTCTCAGCTTCCGCCGGTACCTCTTCGTGGGCTTGTCGGCGGCGGCGGGCGCGGGCTCCTCCAGCGGCTCGTAGCGCTCGGGCAGC